ACTGACCTTAGACATGCCAAGATATTCATGGATGTTTAATATACTCCAGTCATTTCTGGGATCTGTTTTTCTCCAAACGAGCATCTTCAAGAACAAGTTTTTCAACTTTTTCGACAATGTTTTTTTTTTCGAAACTTCCTTCGAAACCAAAGGCAACTTCATCTGAAGTTGCCTCAATCGGTCTGCCGAATTGCTGACAGTCTTCAATTGAGTATTTGCCTTGCTTGAAATGGATATGCCATATTATAAATTATCGTTTTTCCAGGGCAAAAGTCCCCGTAAACAGATGACATAATCACGGCACGAAACTCAATTTTCTTGTTCACTTCCCGATTGACTTGTTTATCATGTGATATCTCAAAATATTGAGTCATCTTTCTCTAACCCCTCTATTTGGCGAACTTTTTGAACCGCCCTGGTATGTATGTAAAATTCTAGTCATATATTTAGTCAGGTCATAAGTTCTGTCAAAAACTTTTTATAAAATTAATGATACACTTTTTGATAATTATATAGAAATTATATATGAAATGAAAGGTAATTTAATTTAGAATACAATTTTAGTTGCATTATTCAAAATGCCATCCTCTATTTCGAATACATGCCCTTAATCGACGCGGCCAATCATCAACCGCAGCACATAACACATTCCTATCTATTTCTGCCGCTGCTTTAGCCAAAGATGCTCGGAGAGGTTCCAAATTCTGATGAAGTTTAGCGCAGACTTTCTCCTTCAAATGTTGCCATATCTTGTAATCCAGTAAGTTTAAATCTGGACTAGAATAGGGCTAGTCTTAATAAAGTCAATCCCACGGGCGGTCAACCAGTTTTGTGTGCTTTGTGCCCTATGAGCTGGTGCAGAGTCCTGTTGGAATATTCAATGTCTGTTTTTGAGCATTGTTTGAGAAAGAGGTTTGACTATGTTTGTTAGGACGGTATTTTGGTACACCTCTGCACTGGTTTTTACATCTTTTTCACAGAAAAACACCTCAGTTAAGCCTGAATATGAGACTCCAAGCCAAACCATGAGTGACGAAGGATAATGTCCTCGTTGAACCCTCTGAATACGCGTGCTGGCTTCTTCACTGCTGTGGGCATACACCTTATCATTTTGTTTATTATAACTTAATCTTCTATGTTAAAATTTTTTTCATCCGAAAAGAAAATTTCGCGGCATTTTTTTCCCGTGTACCGCCGTAACAATGCCCGGGGTCTATCCAGCCTATTTTTTTCAAACGCTCATTCAAAAAACGTCCGGTCTTCTTACGATAAGCTCGTAGTCTTAGGTCGTCACTGATCACTCTTTTGACCGTGGTTCTGCTATGGTCCATCGAAGAGCTAAGATTTTTTGGTTTACGAACAGGATTTCGTTGGATTCGCGCCTTCACTGCTTTGATGATCACGGGTGCCCTAACTGTACGAGTTCGGCCGGTCCTCTTACGATCTTCAAAGCTTGAATCTTCAGTGAATCGTTTGATAGTTCGATAAACAATTCGTAGGGTTATTTTCAATTTTTGTAGAATATTGAAAATCTCTTTTAGCGCGTAACCACAGCGGTGCAACGCGATAACCGCTACTCTATCTTCTTTCTTCGACCACTCCGTATTTGAAAATGAATGAAAATCAATGTCTTTGTTATTTTCGGCAAGCGCAAACGTTATATTTTTAAAATTTGTGAATTTCATCTAACCAGTATTCAAAAATTTTAAATAATAAGGTTTTGACAGAACTTGTGACCCGACTAAGTATAATATTAATACTCTCTCTCTCTCTCTCTCTCTCTGTCTGTCTGTCTGTCTCTCTCTCTTCCTGTCTCATTTTACACAATCTCTTTTACACAACTAACTGTACTTGTACTCTTCTAACTTATTTATTCTCTCCGGAAACCTAAATTAGATATAATCATCATCATCATTATTATTACAGCCCTTCACAAGTTCACTACTGAACATGACCTCCTCCAAGGAATTCCACAAAGCACGGTCCTGATCCACCTGCATCCATCGACTTCCTGCATGTCTTAACAGGTCGTCACTCCATTTAGTGAAGGAACGCCCTACACTTCATCCGCCGGTACGATGCCGCCACTCGAGAACCTTTTTTCACCATCGGTTGTAGGTTCTTCGAGCTATATGGCCCATTGCCACTTCAAGCTTCAGCTTACTAAACATAGCCCATGTTGGTCACTATGGTTTTACTGCGGATATCCTCTTTTCTAAGTTTATCACGCAGAGAAACCCCGAGCATAGCCCTCTCCATGACTTTCCTCATACGGCCAGTAGTGAAGGACCACGTCTCAGATCCATAGGTCATCACTACCAACACGCACTGTTTGTGCAGTCTCGTTTTCAGGTTTTGAGGTATACTTGAAGAGAACATGTGTCGTAGTTTCCCGAACGCTGCCCAGCCGAGTTGAATCCGTCGATTGACCTCTCGGTCGAAGTTGCACTTACCTTGTCGGACTATTTGTCCCAGGTAAATATACTCGCCAACATCTTCGAGCTTAGTGCTCCCAACAACAACCGGCATAGGTGTGTCATGAACATTAAACATGATGTTTGTTTTGTCCATGTTCATCTTAAGACCTATCCATTGGGAGACACTATTGAGGTTGAGCATAGTGCTTAGGTCCTCCAGCGATTCTCCCATAAGGACTGTATCTTCGGCAAATCGAAGGTGAGTGATGTACTCGCCATTGATGTTAATACCGTATCCTTGCCAGTCCAGTAGCTTGAAAACGTCTTCCAATGCAGCGGTGAAGAGTTTCGGAGATATAATGTCACCCTTGTCTTACACCTCTCTGCAGTTGGATAGGTTTCGTACTCTGGTTCTGTATTCGGATAGCCATCGTAGCCCTGCTGTACAAACACTTCAGCACTTCGATATACCGACAGTCGATTTCGCACCGCTAAAGGGACTGCAGCACCGCCCAAATTTCGTCGAAATCCAAGGCTTTCTCATAGTCCACATACACCAGACATAGTGCCGAATTGTACTCCTCGGACATCTGTACAATTTGCTGAAGGATATGTATGTGGTCTATGGTGCTGAAGCCTTTTCGGAAACCGGATTGTACGGGAGGCTGGAAGTCGTCGACGGAATTAAAGAGCTACTGAAGGATTTCATGTACCGGTTTTCCACCCGCTTTCAGAAGCTGCGCTGTAATTTCATCCTCACCCGCGGCCGTTTGGAAGGTGTTGGAGAGCCATTCTAATCTCGCTCAGACTGACGTCCGGAATATCATCGTAATAGTGTCGAATAAGAATTGCTCTTGGATCGTTCCTCACAATTGCGTGTGGCTCCAACGACGATGTGTACGGCTGCCCATAGAACCTTTCAATCTTACTCAAAATCTCAGGTGTCCCGGAAACGACGCTGCCACACTCAGTCTACAACTTCGACAGTTAGCTCTTTTTGGAAGACAGATCTCTAGCAAAGACTTTGGAGCCCTGGTTCCGCTCGATCGCTTCTTCAATACGAGCAGTATTAAAGTTGCGTAAGTCCCGCCGCATGCATTTGGAGATCTGTCTGTTCAGTTGCCTGTACTCTGTAAAATCAACTGAAGTCTGCAGCTTCATTTTCCGTCTAACAGCCATGAGATTAAGAGTGTGATCGGAGAGTTTTTGTGTTCTTCTGCGGGTGTCTTGCAGAACTTAGCTCCGACCGCATAGACAGTTTTCACGAGCTTGTCATTCATATCGTCCACTGCATTGCAATCTTCTACGCACTGAAAACATTGTTGTAGTTCGAGCTGAAAGGTTTCGGAACTTTGGATTAGAGCACGAGGGGGACGGAGCATTGACTTTATTAGACGAGACCTCTCCAACGTTTAGGTACGGTGTATCTCTCGCCATTCGGCGGTCGCTGCCAGTTTTCACCCTCGTGATCAATGAGACATCACTGAACATGAACAGTTGCCATCTGGTCGTCATAATGAAGTAAACCTCATTTTCTGTTAAACTGTCGGGGCTCGACCAGGTCCACTTCCTCTGGGGCCGCTTTTGGAAGAAAGAGTTCATCATAAAGAGTCCCTCTTTCTCCATAAAGTCGGCCATCTACTGGCCCCTTGGGTTCCGTTGCCCTTTTCTGAATTTCCCTACTTTCAGCTCACCGTGCTCTCTTGTGCCTGGTTTTGCGTTTAAGTCTCCTATTAAAAACGTATAGTGAGTTTTGGAGAAATGTATGGCTCTAGAGATATCCTCATACATTTCCTCCACCTCCTCATCGGGATGTGCCGAGGTTGGTGCGTAAACCTGTGTGGCCTTCAGCGAATACCTTTTGGTGGTTCAGAGTATAAGGTATGCAACCCTCGTCGACACACCCAATCTTGACATCGTAGTTAACGAGAGACTTGTGGACGATAAATCCGACACCTCCTTGGTACAGATGGTTGCCCTCCCGGTGATAGTACAAGTTGCCGAAATTAAGGATTACCATGTCCTCCCCCTCTCTTCGGACCTGGGATAATCCTATAATATTCCAGCGCAACTTGTCTATCTCTTCCAGCTCCAGGATCTTCTCGTCAGTTATCAGGGTGCGTGCGTTATATGTTGCCTCGTCGAGTCGTCTTAGGTGGCAACCGAAGCTCCACCGGAGATTCTTAGCACCCCCTGCCCCGCCGTTACCACAGTCGCACCGTAGCCAAGAATAGCGCGGCCGCCGATGAATTATTTTTATAATTCAAAGCGCGGCGCCGTTTATTAGTGTCATTGCTCATGGGGGGGGGGGGGGGGTATATTGCCATAGTTGCCACGCTTGGCGAGCGGGTTGACAATCGCGGTTTTTTATTGTTCTTTTGTTGTTATCAAAAAGATGCTGCTACCCATCTTCTGCCTCAGTTTCTGTCGCCTCTTACAACACCCACGGGAAGGTATGGGGTAGTGGGTATTCTTTTCCGCCACTACACGTGGTAAATTGGCTAAACCATATTAAAATTACCTACTAAACATTTGACTTGTTTCATTTAATTTAATCAATTAAATTTTTCTTCTTTGAATCAGGTATAAGATATGAATATGGTATCTTCTCGCAAAAGATTGAAAATGGCGAGCAACAAGAGGAGCCTGATGACTGGCTCCGCTTCGGTAATCCATGGGAAAAGGCGCGACCGGAGTTCATGCTACCCGTCAACTTCTACGGTCGAGTAGTCGACACACCTCAGGGAAAGAAGTGGGTCGATACGCAGGTAAAAGCCTACTTACGAACACATAGCAGATGTTTTAACTAAATATGAATGTTGTCCGTTAGAAGTAGTACATAATTAGTATATTGTTGTAATATTACATTAAATAGATAATATACTATATACTATATAATAATCGCTTTGTTGTTATCTTTGTACGGCTTTCTGTAGTCAACGGAAATACATATTATATTAAACGTTATGTTTTAAAGGCCGGGTGTTTCAAGCGCAATACATAGGTATACACGCGGTCGTTGCAAAGATCGAGTCGGGCCTGCGTGGCCATCTTTTATGATCTTGATTTTTTACAAAATTATCACAAAAATATTGTTTAAAAGTTTTGAACAAATATTTACACAATGAGAAATACACATACAAACAAAAGCTTAACTATAGTCTATACGAGGGTGGATTGAAAAGTACTCGGCCTAACACAGATACATTCAATTCTAAAAATCAAATCTACCCACATTATTTAGTTCAGTTCAGACTAGTTCATTGTGTGAAGTTCGAAACGTGTGCGATAATTAGTTGTGATTTTATAAATTTATTAACAAAGTAATCGGACATAATTTCCGAGAATGGAGCAAATCGAGCAGCGTGCCGTCATTAAGTACCTTCATAAGAAGGGGCTATCATAAAAAGCCATCCATGATGACATGGTCAGTACATTAGGCGATTGTGCTCTGTCATATTCATCCGTCAAAAAATGGATAGCAGAATTTAAGCGTGGTAGAGAGAGTGTGAAAGATGAACCCCGCTCTGGAAGGCCTTCGACGTCAACTACTGACGAAAATATTAAAAAAGTACTTGATTTAATAATGGGAGACCGCAGATTAAAAATTAGAGAGATAGCCGAGATTATAGGCATCCCTTATGAACGAACTCAAAACATCATTGTCAACGAGTTGGGTTTCCACAAGGTGTCTGCGAGGTGGGTTCCGCGACTGCTTTCAGTTGAACAAAAAAAGGACGCGATTGACTATTTCACGCGACTGTTTGGAGTTATTTGAAGCCGATGCAGATGATTTTTTGAATCGTTTTGTTACTATGGACGAAACATGGGTTCATTACTGTACACCGGAAACAAAACAACAATCAAAACAGTGGAGAAGACCTGGTTCACCACCCCCTAAAAAGGCTAAGTCGATTTTGTCGGCAAATAAGGTGATGGCTTCAGTATTCTGGGACTCGAAAGGTGTGATTATGATTGATTATCTTGAAAGGGGTCAGAATATAAACTCTGATTACTACTGCACCTTACTACGTCGTTTACGAGAGGAAATAAAAGAAAAACGTCGAGGAATGCTCAGAAGAAAAGTCCTGTTTCATCAAGATAACGCCCGTGTTCACACGTCAGTACAGTCAATGGCTGAAATTCACAACTGTGGCTTTGAACTGTTACCGCATCCGCCGTATTCACCTGATCCGGCACCATCAAACTTCTTTCTGTTCCCTAACCTAAAAAAGCACTTGGGAGGTCAAAGATTTTCGACAAACGACGAGGTCAAAGCAGCTGTAGACGCATATTTTGACTCTAAGGAAGAATCATTTTTTTTCAACGGTCTAAATGCTTGGAAGGAGAGGTGGCAAAAGTGTATTGAACTTGATGGTGATTATGTAGAAAAATAAAAATATAACTGATTTAGTATGTGTTTATTTTCTTGGTTAGGCCGAGTACTTTTCAATCCACCCTCGTATAAGTTCCGTAAAACTATAGTTATTTACAATTTATTTTATTTAATTTAATAAATGTAATGAAAAAAAAACGATCGGGGAGAACCGATTCCAAAATTAATTACCTATAGGTTGATATTATTTATAAAAAAAAAGAGTATTAGTACTTGTTTAAATTAAATTCGGCTTGTAAAAAAACTGCAAATTGAACGTATTTCGGTATTTTTTATTTCTATCGAGAAAATTGTACTGTATCGTGTTTTGACCGGGTACATCGTAAGGAGAAAGAATGTATCTAAAACATATTTATTACCAGGTTCCAAATGTAATAATTTGCCTATCAAAAACAAAATTTAAATCGGACAATAACAGGAACACCCAGCCTTAAAGGAAATGTGCGAGTAAAAAATAGAAATAATTGACGAACACTTGAAGTAGCCCATTATTTTATTCATATCATCGTTGTGCTTTTTCATGCCTTAAGCGCAAAGCGCGTGGGTATGTTCTACTAGCGTCTAATAATCAAGATTCCAACATTTTGTCGCATGAAATCGTATCTAACAAACATATTGAACATATAAATGATATAAAAAGCACATTGTCAGAAAGATAAATGATTGTTGAACTTATTATTTTTTTTAATCGATCAATTGCTATTTTTACATAAAAAAGTGGTTTTAGTGGCATAAGGTGTAGATATATCAAGTGCGGACTTGACTTGGGGGCGTAAACACGATAACTTTTGAAAATATCAATTGTTTAACTCAATCTATTTTTTGAACTCTTCATCTATTATGTGGAATGTAAATGGCAGTTTAACTTTGTTTTGTTTAGTTATAATTAATTTTTTTCGACTGAGAAATAGCAAAATTTTCGGTGTTTCGAGCAGCTACAATTTGCCTCACTCCCGGCCATAGAGTACTTTTTTACTCTGGGCTCAGCCGCCGTCTTGAGTGCTCGTATGTTTACAGCGGTTCGTGCTGAAAAATATCAATCGCTTTAGAAATACAAAATTTTCCAAAAACCAAATTTGATACATACTTGACCAAGGTAAGATATTATTATTATTTTTATAATCACAGATTTTTATTACAATATTTTGTTTCGCTAAAAATACGCAGGATTTATATATAAATATATTTATACGTTTTGGACTTTAAGGAAACCTGAAAGTGTACTTCGATATTTGCTACTGTAACTCTTCGAGGATTAGAACTACGCGTGCCGAGATTGTGCTCATGTTAGTTATGATGAGACCTTACCCCGACTTGAAGTTGTACTTCGGTGAATGCTACTGGAACTCGAAGAGTAGTAATAGTAATAGGTGTGCTAAGTTTGGGCTCGTTGTTTTAGTTATGATGAGAACTCACCTCCAAACAGTGGCGGATTATACTTAAGGCAAACTAGGCACGTGCCTAGGGGCGCAAGGTTATACAGGCGCGTGCGGAAGTTTCTAAACGAAAAAAAATCGTTGTACCTATTTGATTACTCCTAAATCGCTTTTACTCTCTCATCATATCTTTTCATTTATGCCCCCTGTTAATGGTACTCGTATCCTCATTATTTTGCAATTATTAAACTATATTATAAATTATAATATAGTTGCAAAATGAGTATATTTAATTTATAATATATATAATATGGCTCCTAGAGAGGCCACCATCTCATCGGCGCCTCTTTAGGGGCCATATTATAGGCTAAGCTGTGCTAGAGCGCACGCGCAGTCGACATATAATCCGCCTCTGCCTCCGGACTCGATAGAATGACCTGAAAGTGTACTTCGATGAATGCTAATAGTTTTGTTAGTTATGTAGAGACCTTACCTCCGGACTTGCAAGAATGGTCTGAAGGTGTACTTCGATGACTGTTACTGGAACTCCCCGACGAGCAGTAATAGGTGTGCCGATTTTGGGCTCGTTTTGTTAGTTAAGATGAGACCTTACTTCCGGACTTGATGGAGTGACTTGAAGGTGTACTTCGGTGACTGCTACTGGAACTCTTTGACGAATAGAACTACAATTTACATTTTCTTTTCACTATCATACGAGCATTATGAGTCGTGCACTTTTGCATATTCTAAACTTTATTTAAATTAAAGTTTGACGTAAAATTATCGGAAAATTGCAAGTGTAGTAATAAGGTTATTAGTGAAAACTTGGGGGTATTTAAACTATTTAAAAAAATTTGGTATAATCGTGTTATACGTAATTTTTTTAATGCGCTTAAGGCATGCACAATTGCATTTACCAATATTTTTTTGAACTTATTAACATTTATAAAAAGTGAGACTTCGTGTTAATTTAAAGTTTATTGAGTGTAATTACGAATTCAAATATATTTTTGTCACCAGGTTGTGTTCGCAATGCCATACGATAACCCGATCCCCGGCTACAACAACAATGTGGTCAATACGCTGAGGCTTTGGTCCGCGAAGAGCCCGGTTGATTTCAACCTCAAGTTCTGTAAGTATTTTTTATTTCTTTGTGATGTAGTATATTATATCTTTTATGAACTACAAAAAAGGAGCAGGTTCTTAGGTCGGCAGTAATTTTAGAGACTATTGCAAACTGGAGGCGTATATGCAAGACAAATTCCGTACACAGTGCAACACTCGTGCGACCGTCTAGGTTTGACATCCCCATACATTTTGATGTGTTAAATCCACAACCAGCCTTTTATACAAGGTACTCTTATAATTTCGTTCTGTCCGCTTTGCTTTCGGTAGGTTACCCCTTGCTAAAGGTTTATAGTTTTTGTTCAATTATGTTTATCCAACGTCATCCGTTAACTCCGTTTCTAACTAGATAAACAAGATTGCAAAATACTTGTTTATCTAGTTAGGAACGGAACTATATAGAGTGGTTTTAAAATTGTTATCTATAGTATAGAGTGAGATCTCAGTAGACAGATTGTGCAATTTCCATTTTCTATAAAAACATGAAAGTCTACCATCTATAAAGCCAATAACGACGGGAAGAGTTGTAAGACAACTAAGTTAGTAGAAAACTAACAAGTTTAACAGTGCCAATTTCTGTACCTCTAGGTTCTAACAGTTTTTAATAAAGATTTATTTGAAGTTTTGAACCAAGAATTAATAAAAAATAAAACCAGTTGGATCACTATCAAGAATAGTTTAAAGTTTAACGATTGGGCTACTTATGTATCCGTAAGAGTACGGACTAGTTTTTTAAACTGTATGGGAAAAAACTTACCTACATTCGACGCAATTTTAAGAATATGTTAAAATGTATGAAAACACATTTAGAATGGTATGTATGTCGAAAACCAAAATTCCATAAGTCTTCAAATTAAATGTGCTGACAAAAAATGTTATGTGCAAATTTACTGCTTATAAAGGTGTTAGACTATTTCGAATTAATTATGTACTTATTCAAGTAAATGTAATGTGTAACTTTTTCCGAGGGGGAAGTCAGATTGCCTTTAAATATTTATCATCGTCCAACGCCACGTTCCAAAGCCACGTGCATCCATACATTTCTCTCTTACCAGGTTTTCACTTCATCTAGAGAGGGGGGGGGGGGGTTAATACTTAGCTTACTGGTAAGAGGTGGCACTCAAGAATATTGTTTTAGTACAAATATTAACAGTGCTTGACCACAATTCCACCTGGTGGTAAGTGGTAATGAAGTGAATGAAGATGATAAATCGCACTGTCTTACGTAACAAAAGTCTATGCTTCTGTAGCTTGAAATCTTCAGTGCAATAACCATAAAAGCAAAATAGAGTTAATTAACAATAAAATCCTGAACAATGAGCCTTCACCTAGTAACATGATTCCGTTGTCTGATGGCTGATAGTCGCTTAGAGAAACTACATATCTAATAATAGTTAGTAGAAACTAACAATAATGTTTAAATTAGTTAATGTTGTTTCGCCCTTTACTTTATATGCAATATTAATTTAATGTCCTTGATTGAATTCTCGGAGAAAAGTATTATTTGATGTACCTTATACAAAAACGAAATAATATAGATAATACTTTTATAAATCGCGCATGTGAATATTTTTCATAGTATAATAATATTTTTAATAATATTGATCTATATCAGTACACAATACAAGTCACTGCACTAGACATTACTCTTTAATTTTTTCCATAAAGACATTTTAAACTATGATTTTTGAATGATATGTTATCATCACTAGCTATTAATTGTCTAAGGTAACATCTTAGTACCTATGTGTTAGACTCGGGTATGTAATGCTCGCTTGTTGTGTTGACTTCGAGTATGCCTCGAGTCTACTTATTTTTTTTTCTGAATAAGAATATTGTACCATGAGTCTTTAAAAAATGACATCTGTGGAGTTTCTTTCACCGGTTCTGCTTCGGGCAGAGGAACCTGGTTTTGAAATGGTAGTAGATTACCTGACGTTTGACAATAACATTTTATGTATTACGTCGCAAAATAAAGATTTTTATTTAACTTACGATTAAAATACAACTGATAATGTTATTATAGAATAAGAGTGACAAACGAGCACACAATCCATCTGGTGGTAAATTAATGTTGTGGTCTATGCACACCTAAATCCATCCTTGATTAAGAATCAAAATGTGGATGCGTTGTTACTCCTGAGGACTAAATATAATACCTCATTACCATTAAATAGGGTCTTCGGTTCTCTACACTTTTCACACAAAACACAACAGCATAAAGCTGTTATTTTACGGTTGTATTTGTGAGGTCGCGTTCCTTTTCCGGTCGAGCTGATCCATTCGTGCCGCACCATAATAATATATTTGCAGCGTGGCTCCACCACGTTAAAGGTTTTATCTATCTCTACAATTTTATCCATATATCGACATATTTAATTTATGTTCATTTGCACGTAAAAGTCCACTGCTAAACTAAGGCCTATTTGGTTTAAAGAAAAGATTTACTATAATTGGCGTTCGAAGTATCAGGAATTTAAGGTGAGCGCCAACCACTGAGCTACTTTATGGCTTATATAGGCTGTTTACTTAATATAAAATTAACGCGTCTTTTTTATTTCAGTCAACTCCGGTGACTACATTCAAGCTGTACTTGACCGAAACGTCGCCGAAAACATCTCAAGAGTTCTGTACCCTAATGACAATTTCTTCGAAGGCAAGGAGTTACGTCTCAGGCAGGAATACTTTATGTGTGCGGCAACCTTGCAAGATATCATAAGAAGATATAAAGCATCCAAGTTTGGATGTCGAGCTCCCGTTAGAACAACGTTCGAAAGTCTCCCTGAAAAAGTTGCATTACAACTTAACGATACTCATCCCGCATTAGCTATTCCTGAGCTCTTGAGAATTTTAATTGACATAGAAAAAGTATCGTATGAAGAAGCTTGGGACCTAGTGGTGAAGTGCTGCGCATACACCAACCATACTGTTCTGCCTGAAGCGTTGGAGAGATGGCCCTGCTCCATGCTGGAGAATTGTTTACCCAGACACATGCAGTTGATATACCAGATCAATTTCCTCCATCTTCAAGAGGTGCAGAAACGCTGGCCCGGCGATGTGGATCGCTTACGTCGTATGTCATTGATAGAAGAAGAAGGAGAAAAACGAGTAAACATGGCACATCTTTGCATAGTCGGATCGCACGCTGTGAACGGTGTCGCCGCCATTCACTCGGAGATTCTTAAAACCACTATCTTCCGCGATTTCTACGAAATGTCACCGGAGAAATTCCAGAACAAGACCAACGGGATAACGCCTAGGCGATGGTTGTTGCTGTGCAATCCTGGTCTGTGTGACCTAATTTGCGATAAGATCGGCGAGGATTGGACTGTGCACTTGGAGAAACTGCAGCAGCTGAAGCGCTGGTCGAAAGACCCTTCTTTCCAACGTGCAGTTATGAAGGTCAAACAAGAGAACAAGCTACGACTTGCTTCTCTGATCGAAAGGGACACCGGTATAAAAATTAACCCGGCGTCAATGTTCGATGTTCAAGTTAAGCGTATTCATGAGTACAAACGTCAGTTGCTAAACATCCTGCATGTTATAACATTGTACAACCGTATTAAACGCGACCCCACTGCTGCGTTCACTCCCAGGACTGTGATGATCGGCGGGAAAGCGGCGCCCGGCTACTACATTGCTAAACAGATTATAGCTCTTGCTTGCGCTGTCGGGAACACCGTAAGTATCATATCTTTAAAACATTATAATTACTAGAAGGTACTATGCTATAAAATAATATACATAAGCAGTTGTTAAAAAAATGTTTATTCTAGAATCAAATCTCAATTACAAAATGTTTATTCCAGAATCAAATCTCAATTACAAAATGTTTATTCCAGAATCAAATCTCAATTAAAAAGGCATGCGTCGTAAAGGGTGGAAATATACACCTATTTTTACATTTCAGAGAGGTGGATGAAAGTGTCTTAAGTATATGTTTTGTTTGTCGATCAGGTAAACAACGACCCGGATGTGGGCGACAAGCTGAAGCTGATCTTTTTGGAGAACTACCGCGTATCGCTGGCGGAGCGCATCATGCCGGCCGCCGACCTCAGTGAGCAGATCTCCACGGCCGGCACCGAGGCGTCCGGCACCGGCAACATGAAGTTCATGCTCAACGGCGCTCTCACTGTCGGTACGTGTGCCTATGTCGTAAGAACCTCAGCGGGCATAGTATCTCTACCACAGCCGGCAATGAGGCGTCCGGCACCGGCAACATGAAGTTCATGCTCAACGGCGCTCTCACTGTCGGTACGTGTGCCTATGTCGTAAGAACCTCAGCGGGCATAGTATCTCTACCACAGCCGGCAATGAGGCGTCCGGCACCGGCAACATGAAGTTCATGCTCAACGGCGCTCTCACTGTCGGTACGTGTGCCTATGTCGTAAGAACCTCAGCGGGCATAGTATCTCTACCACAGCCGGCAATGAGGCGTCCGGCACCGGCAACATGAAGTTCATGCTCAACGGCGCTCTCACTGTCGGTACGTGTGCCTATGTCGTAAGAACCTCAGCGGGCATAGTATCTCTACCACAGCCGGCAATGAGGCGTCCGGCACCGGCAACATGAAGTTCATGCTCAACGGCGCTCTCACTGTCGGTACGTGTGCCTATGTCGTAAGAACCTCAGCGGGCATAGTATCTCTACCACAGCCGGCAATGAGGCGTCCGGCACCGGCAACATGAAGTTCATGCTCAACGGCGCTCTCACTGTCGGTACGTGTGCCTATGTCGTAAGAACCTCAGCGGGCATAGTATCTCTACCACAGCCGGCAATGAGGCGTCCGGCACCGGCAACATGAAGTTCATGCTCAACGGCGCTCTCACTGTCGGTACGTGTGCCTATGTCGTAAGAACCTCAGCGGGCATAGTATCTCTACCACAGCCGGCAATGAGGCGTCCGGCACCGGCAACATGAAGTTCATACTCAACGGCGCTCTCACTGTCGGTACGGTGTGCCTATGTCGTAAGAACCTTAGCGGGCATAGTATCTCTACCACAGCCAGCACCCACGAGTTCGGAACTGGCAACATAAAGTTCATGCTCAACAGTGCTTTTACTGTCGGTACGTGCCTATGTCGTAAGAACCACCTCAGTACCACAGCCTGCACTAAGGCATCCGGCAACATGCTTAATGGCGTTCTAACTGTCGGCATTTGTTGTATGTCGTAGGAAACCACCCTAGCGTGCATCATGGTGTGCTAAGTAACTGCACTTGATCTTGATGACGTCATAACTTAGTATGATTAGCATAAACAAAATTTAATAATTTTATTACCATAATTTCTATCATCAATACAGCCCTTCACAAGCCCAGTGCTGAACATAGGCCTCCCTCAAGGAATGCTTTAAAGCACTGTCCTGAGCCACTTGCATCCACCGACTTACTGCATGTCTTACCGGGCCGTCACTACATCTAGTGGGGGGCCGCCCTACACTTCTACCGGTACGAGGCTGCCACTCGATAATATTTCTTGCCCATCGGTTGTCGGTTCTTCGAGATATATGGCCGGCCGGCTATGTCGGTTGCTCTGATTCTACTGCGAATTCTCATTTTTAAGTACATCACGCAGAGAAACCCCAAACATGGCCCTCTCCATAGCTCGCTGAGCGACCTTGAACTTTCTCATACGGCCAGCAGTGAAGGACCACGTCTCAGATCCATAATATTTGTTATATCCGAAATAAGATATGTGATGACGTTCTGAAAGATATTTGATTTTTTGTACATTAATGTTCTCTTAGAAACTACCGTTGGCGCGCTTGTTCTTTCCCTTTTCGTTACCTGATCAACCAGTATTAAAATGCTTCAATCCATATAATAAAGAAGCAATAGACAAAAATAAAATTAAAAAAAATTAAATCTTTCAATATGTTTTCGCTTGTTATTACGAGATTAAAAAATTAGTAGCGAGCGATCGGAGAAGATGCGGGGAGGGGTAAGGTGGAAACATTAAGTATACTTGCTCTATGGAAAGGTTTGCTAAGGATATGCTGGAATTACGTTAGCTTTCTTTCACTGTTGATGAGTTGTACATCCCGATGAGGAGGTGGAGAAAATGTAAAGGATATCTCTAAATCCACGCATTCCTCCAAAACCCACTATCCCGTGTTAATGGGAAACTTCAATGCAAAACTAGGCACGAGAGAGAACAGTAAGCTGAAGGTAGGGAAATTCGGAATAGGGCAACCGAATCCAAGAGGCGAGCAGCTATCCGACTTCATGGAGAAAGAGGGACTCTTTATGATGAACTCTTTCTTCCCGAAGCGACCTCACAAGAAGTGGATGTTGTCGAGCCCCGACTGCTCGATAAAAAATGTCCTTATGGCAGAATCGCTGGAGGACCTAAGCACTATGCTCCACGACCTCAATAGTGCCTCCCAACGGATAGGTTTTAAGATGAACATGAACAAAACATACATCATGTTTAATGTCCATGTCACATCTATGCCGGTAGTTGTTGGGAGCACTAAGCTCGAAGTTGTTGACAATTATATATAATACCTGGAACAAATAGTCCGACTAGGTAAGTCCAACTTTGAGCGATAGGTCAGTCGACGGGTTCAGCTCGGCTGGTCAGAGTTCGGGAAATTGCGACACATCTTCTCTTCAGGTATACCACAAAACCTGAAAACGAGATTGTACAACCAGTGCATGTTGCCAGTGATGACTTATGGATCTGAGACGTGGTCCTTCACTGCTAGCCGTATGAGGACGTTTAAGGTCGCTCAGAGACCTATGGAGAGGGCTATGCCCGGGGTTACTTGATACTTGTTTGAATATGAATTTAGTATCTTTAATTTCATTGCCTAAATGCGATGGCATTGCATGAGAAAAATTATTTGTGCTACACGCACTGTACACCTAAAGAAATGTTAAATTGCTTAAAAGCCTTTGCTGTTTGTTAATTTATAACAGTTGATATTTCTGATAATTAAAAAACTTCAATCTTTACCAGGTACTATGGACGGTGCTAACGTTGAAATGGCGGAAGAAGCTGGAGAGGAGAATTTGTTTATATTTGGTATGAGAGTTGATGATGTAGAGGCTCTCAAACAACGTGGGTGAGCAAGTTTAAAATATTTTACTTTTAATTATTTCATTAGCTATAGCACCGACTTCAGAATTTGTAATTATACAACAGTACAACGTCTGCCTGGCCCGCTAGTATACTATATATAAATGTCCCACTGCTGGCTCTAAAGTCACCTATGTCGCCTCTCATTAGGCCAGGAAACCCCGCTCTCGCCTTTGTCGACTCTGAAAATGCCGAATGCCTCGTGGACAGTTTAGAGAGCCAATGCACTCCTTCCAACGAACCCACAGTTCCCGCTCACCTCCTAGAGGTAGAAGCGGAAGTCTGCAATACCACCTATACCACCACGTTCTGAAAGGCTTCAATCTCCCAAAAAGAAGTTATAGGACCACTAACACCGGCGCACTCTTCCTCGATCTCACAAAAGCGTTTGACAAAGTTTGGCACGACGGCTTACTTTATAAGCTGTATAAACTTAGCGTATATAGGCTCATCCACATCATTAGAGCCTTCGTTGCCAACTACCATTTTCGATATCTAAAGAGAGGGCACTCGACCCTCGAAGCATCTCCTAAAGGCTGGAGTTCCTTAGGGCTCAGTCCTCTCCCCACTCCTCTTCACACTCTTCACGAGTGAAATCCCGAAACACAGTAGTCTCTTCGCCGCCAACACAGCACTTTTCGTCGCCTATCACAATAACGGTTGTTATTTATAATTCATGACATGTTATTGATATTTTAAAGTTCAGTCGCTATAATTCAAACAATGTGCGTTTAATTTCTATTTGTGATTTTGTTGTTAATCTATATTATGTTTTCATAGGGGCATTTTGGTGTAGTTGCTACACTTGACAGGCGGGTTCACTGACGACCGCAATTTTCATAATTTTCAGTTCTTATTAAGAAGATGAGATCTCCTGTTTCAGTTTCCCTCTGTTGCCTCTTTACGGGACGATATGGGATAGTGAATATTCTTACACCGCCATTACACGGCGTAGCAACTATGGCAAAGCAGGCAATCCATGGGGAGGTCTATGTTCAGCGGTGGACGTTGATAGGCTGTAACAGATACGAGGGCGGCACTGAAAATTTCGGGAATCAAGGAAGTGACACAACATTACTATTTAAAAATGTATTTATTGCTTTTCGAAGTATTCTCCGCGAAATTTGACACATTTTCCATACGATGGAACCAATCATTGAAGCACCTATTCCATTCGGAAGTTGGGGTCTCCAAAATGGCCGTTTTGTAGGCGTCCACAGCTTCTTCAGGTGATGAAAATCTCTGTCCACGCAATTTATTCTTTATTTTAGGGAAAGTATAGAAATCATTAGGACTTAGGTCGAGGCTGTACGGCGGATGGTCTAATAATTCTATGTTTTCTTGCTCTAAAAACTCTTTTGTTCTGTGTGCGGTGTGAGAACTCGCATTGTCGTGATGGAGGATGATGCGGCGGTTGCAGTTCTCTTTACGGAGTTCAGAAACGACCTGTGGCAAACAAATGCTAGCATACCATTCTGCATTAACCGTTCTTTGTCCCTCAAGAGGAATAGTCGTAACATGGCCGGTTTTGGAGACAAACGTGGCCACCATTTTTTTTGCAACACTCCGTGAACGAACAATTTTTGTTGGCTTTAACTCATTTTCGAACACCCAAACTTGTGACTGGTTTTTTGTTTCGGGTTCGTACGCGTATATCCAGGATTCGTCACCTGATACGATGTTGTATACAGCATTTGAGGATCCTGCGTCTTTTGAGAATCTTTCGAGAGTTCTGACGCACCAAGTAACGCGAGCCGCTTTTTGCTCTTCACAGAGCGAATGCGGTATCCATTGGGAAAACAACTTTTTTACATCTAATTGTTCATGCAAGATTATTTGTATTTGACTCATGCCAATGTCTAAAGTTGCCTGAATTTCGCGGTATGTCACATGTCGATCTTCCTCAATCAGCTTACGCACAGCATCAACGTTTTCTTGGGTGACTGCAGTTTTTGGACAACCTTGACGGGGATCATCACTGAGCTTGACACGTCCACGTTGAAATTCAGCAAACCAGCGATAAATTGTGGTTTTGGATGGGGCTTCATCACCAAATGCAGAAATCATCCGGTCAACACACTGTTTTTGTGTTAAACCACTTCGAAAGTCATAATAAATGATCGCTCTTGAATTTTCTCGAGTCAATTCCATTTTCTCAACGACTAAACAAGTTTGACAAAACCTTGTGACAAGACCGAGAATCCTTTTTTAAATAAATAAATGGTATTCGATTTTTAAAACCAAGGACTTTTCAATTAAAAAAAATTTAATGTGACAGGAACAGTGGAAATATTCCATTCCCGATACTTTTAGTGCAGCCTATGTAGATAAGATATGTTTTCGGGCCGCTGATTTTACATCAAATAAGTCTAAGTTAGACTATGCGTTTAACTTAGACTTATTTGATATTGATTATATGATAGTTTTGTCTCTTCTTATGACCAGTGTGTTTTAAATAATATAAATTTGCTAAAATCGTATGTTATGGTTGTGTTATTATTTGGATATCGATTGGTTTTAATTTTTTTTTATTTGTTTCTTGTTTGAGCGGACCGACGAACAAAAAGACTGAAATTATAAGGGGTTATATAGAAGCAGAACTGTATAAAGAGCCTTGATGTCAGGTACAACGCATACGAGTACTACGAGCGCAACCCGGAGCTGCGGCAGTGCATCGAGCAGATCCGCAGCGGGTTCTTCTCGCCGGGCGAGCCGGGCCGCTTCGCCAACGTGGCCGACGTGCTGCTGCAGCACGACCGCTTCATGCACCTCGCCGACTACGACGCGTACATTGAAGCCCAGGAGAAGGTCTCCGCCGTTTACCAGGTGAGATCGTTTGATCGCTTTTATTTACGATTTCTGAAGTTTTTCAACACAATTTTGTTAATAGTGTCGCTTTTTAATTCATTTACTATTTAAAAAGGGACGCTTGTGGTTCGGACATGGTTTAGGTATATTTTTTAAGGGAATATAAAGTTTTTTATTATTTTAAAGATGTAAGTGCGACAAAAGAGCACACAGTCGCCCATTGCCACTTCTAAGCTTCTAAACCATTCTATTATCGGTAAAAAAAACTAAAATGCGTTTCACCCCTAAAGACTAAGTTAGAATGCCTCGTCACCAGTGAAAAGGGTCTCCAGTTCTCCACACTATCTATATGAAATACATCGGTATCATGCTTGCTATTTTACGCTGGTATCCTGTGACATCATTGTCCTTCCCCGATCATGCCGACCCATTCGTGCGATAGCCTTAATACAGCTGCAGCGTTTTTCTACCGTGTGTTAACATAAAAGGGGTGAATATTAATTTATTAATAAAATCAGGCATTCTTTCAAATTTATATGAAATTACTGCGTGCACTTTTTCGATTTAAAATCATATACTTAACCTCATTGATATTTACTTTTAAAATACAGCTGAATTGACAATATCCTACTTTTTTGAAGTCCGTTAATTTAAGTAGTTCTTAAGGAAGTTAACTTTGAATGTGGTTGATTTTTCTCAATAGAACCAGGCGAAATGGGCCGAAATGGTGATCGAAAATATCGCGTCATCTGGCAAGTTCTCATCCGACCGTACCATCGCCGAGTATGCGCGGGAGATCTGGGGCGTGGAGCCCACCTGGGAGAAGCTGCCCGCCCCCCACGAAACTGCTTAAAGTATGAAGTTTCTCAAACGTTAACTTCGTGTATTTATCACTACAATATTAGCATTGTTCATTGGAAATTTAAAGTAGCCAAATTGTCTGTGTATTAACTTTTGAACTTTAATAACATTACATGTTGGAGGTATCATTGGTAATATATTTGTAATTTAGTATGGTTATGAGCATACTTTTTATGACTGATGTAGCTTTGTGCTTTTATATCTAACATGCTAATTCTACTATATTTCGTCTCGTTCCTTTTTCCGATGACGTTTTACCGATAATGACCTTCTTTCTTTCTTCCAAAATGTGTAATATTATAACATGAGGTTTGGGGAAAAGTTGACGACGATTTTACTCGTGTCAGAAATCACGTTAAACATATATTCTTTTTCATATAAATTTCTTTACTAATGTTACTAATGCTCATGACTGTACGTACTTGAAATGTAGAAAATTTTGTATGTATGTAGATATAAACACTTAATATGTTATATTTGTAGTGATTAGAAGGTTACGATTTTTCAAATTCAACTAAAAGTAAAAGCAGATTTAAATTTGTATATTTTTTTGTATTTACCCACCAATATGCAAAAATATTTTTATGTTACATATATTAATAAGTAACGTTCAATGGTATCTAACATTATCAAGATTCTAAAATAACGATATACATTATTAATGTATTTAGTTTATTGTATTTTATCTAATTGTAGGCAGCTGAAATAAGTAATTTTAATGCTGTAGAAACAATGTTTTTCACATTGTTTCTACAACACTAAAATTACTTATGAAATAATATATAAGTATAATTATGAAATTTATGTAAGCTCAAACACAGGTGCGCTCTGCTGCGATAAGTGAGTATAAATGTTTTTATTTCCTGAAGTCAACATGTTCCTAATATTTGGAGATTATTTTACAATTGTGAAATGATTTGATGCATTACGAATTTATTTAAGTGTGCCATTAAATCTGAAGGATGATGTGTTTTTATTGGCAAAGTCGAGGCTAAAATCTGATAGAAGTAGAACTGTATTAAAATAGATTTAAAATTACTAAAGTCCCGGCTTTCCTTTATATATTAATGTAACGTAAACTTTACAATATTATGATCTTATCTGATTTTATCTAAATGATATTATTAAGTATAAAGAGTCTTACAATAGAAATTCTATTTATATGGTATTTAAATAAAAATTATATTATAACGTTTAAAAGACGAAAGATGTTATCTTTTATTACTTTCATAATATTAACGAAGATTTTCTATAATAATTATCATTATATAGAATTGATTGTTATTTTTTCTACTTCCACTGCCACAGATTCGTATTTTATATTAATATCGAATTATATTGATTATGTATATTGATTGAATATTATCTGTTATAATAATACGTTTACATGCTATTTTTATTTTGGCATTTTTAAATAAAAAGTTATGAATTCATTTGCTTTTTTACTCCTAGAATTAATTTCGTATATAACACACTCTTTATGTCGTCTATTTCTACCAAAAACTTTATCCCCTACTTTCTCTTAGTGGTGGATTTTTTTCCTCAAATTTATATGAGACAACCCAATGAAGTATAACTTATTTAATAAAAACGAATAATCAAAGTCTGTTTAAAAAATATACTTTTTTGAAGTCTGCTAAAAAGGGGATTACATCATGACTAAGACTGAATACGTCATGGCTTGAAATTATAAAGGTAAGAGAAATAAGTCAGTCAGCGAATGCACTGTGGGGCAATAAGAGAATCCACAAACCTTTACCATGCTTACGTAATTATACTGGGTTGATTATGACCGACTCATCGACCACGTCCAAATTGCATCTGGGGTGCTACTTCCGAGCGCCCGCAGCCTACGCACACTAATACAATGTGTATGTGCACGGCTACCAACAACCAAAGTCAAAACTTCATCGTGAAATAGAATGACTATACTTCTACCAACAGTATCCTGTGACTTACTATTTCAGCTCATGCAGTGGATCCACTCCTAGTTGTAGAACGAGCTGATAAAAGAGATGGAGGTTGCTTTTCTGCCTATGCGTAGTTTGTAAAAAGCTTTAAATGTGATTATTTCTAGACTAAATAGTGCAACGTGCGACACGAGGTCTAAGCACAACATCAGAACGCTAAGAACTTTTTAAGCAGTTCCTCGCCCAAATGTTCGTATCGCGTCTATAATAAATACATTATTGGCCTTACTAATAGTCGATTGATTATAGCTGAAGAGAGAGAGAGAGAGAGCTACCTTAAGAACTGCTTAAATTCGATTTTTATGAGTCGTTAACTAGATAACGAAGATTTATTTTCCTATGATATTTTAGTATATTTTTTATAAATGCTTAAAGTAGTTTATGTAAAGCATTTTCTTAAAAAGGAGATTTAGTAATTTTATTTAATTGAACGATCTTACAGCATTTCAAGTTATGCAATATTCATTCCGTGGAATTGTAAAACCCACGCGGATGGGCACGCAGGGAGGAAAAAATCTGCGTGCGCATTTGTAAAGGTCCTGCTCCTGTGCTTTTGGCTCCCTGTGGCGTTTTGGCTTTGAGCGTCGGTCTTGATAATCGTCGTCCTGTGAGGCGCTATGTGTAAGTGAGTAAGCATGCTTAACCATCCTTTTCGCACGGATGTCATCGGCCGTTCATGTCTCGCCTACTACTAGGTACTTACTCATTCGCCGTCGTTTGCTCGGACGAGTAGGTCGCTGCCGCTCGTCTTATCGCGTGTGTTGTGTCTTTTAGTGTTGTGGCCGTTGTGCTGAACCTTCTTCCTCACCTCGCAGGTAAAACAAAATTGTTTGCAAATCCCACAGCTCATTGTACCTTTGTGTCACAGAAATCTGTTTTCGTGAGTAAAGCCGGTCGGTTGGACGCACGACGACGATCGATAACGATGTTGTCTTGGCCGAGTGTAGGCAAGCTCGCTAATATCAGACACGATCTTATTCTATTTCCTGATCAAAATAAATTTATGAACATGAAACTCCATTTGACATTAATCAAACATAGCAATGTACCTCTGCTACCTACATTCAGAAGCAAAGTTAGCGACTATGTTTTGACTCATTGTTGTTTCGGTGTACTCGGTGCGTATATAATAATAATTAAGACCTTGATAAAGATTAAAAAAAATTGGCGATAATATCGAAAGAATGTCCACAACATATAAGTTTAAAAATAACGAAGATATTTCATTAATTACTTTGCGCACTACAAAATTATTTTTTATGAAATTTTTTATTAATAAATATTTGAGTAAGTGTCCTTATGCCCTTATAGGAATAAATAATCATTTCTAAAATTGCTTCATTGCCATTGTTAATTCACATGATTCATGCCAAAATTTTGCGTATTTCCTTAATTCTCCATTTTAAGATATAAATAAATTATACCAAATATGTATCCGTATGTAGCAGTAATGTATTACATATTATTTTGGGATACTTAACAAAATGGCGCCCGAGAATTCGGCCGTTAAGTTAAACATATGATCCACCATTCATATTAAATTTAATAGCCACGCCTTTTACATACGTTACCCATAAGTACCTATTTAGGAAACCGAATTTGAATAAACTAGAATAGAGTCCTGTCTATGTACACGTGCTAAATGCATTCAGCTGGACCGGCTTAGCATGCCTGCATTAGTTGTGAGAATACTACGCACTTTACTAAAGTAGAAATAGACAGATATATGAAACTTAATAAGGAATAACATTAAAAATTAAATCGTTTAGTGTAGCATTAAGTCCTTAGTAAGTAAGTAAGCATTAAGTATGCAAAACATATGTAAATTGTTTTAGGGGTAAGTTACGTCGATGAGCTATAATTGAAATAAAGGTAAAATTATTCTACTAAGAAATATTTTGATTTAAATTTTTAGCGTAAAACAGTTCCAATTTCTATCGTTATGCCACATTAACCTATTGAACCTTACTACGCTACTACGCCGTGCTTGTATATATGTATATCTACCTTAAGAATCTACCTAAAATTACTTTTCACCCTCCGCAGAAGCCAGGGGTAAAATTCACATAGAACTGGAAAAATGAAAGTGCACCCTTAATATTTTAATATAATAAGTATAGGTGTTTGCTCTTCGACTATTTTGTTACTTCAGCAGAATATAATATAATCAGAGGCTTTCTACAAAAATAACATTTGGCTAAAGTGCGTTCACGTTTTCTTGAAACACTTCCACGGCGCATAGCAGCGGCACGGCAGGTGCATTGCAAACGTTGAAAAGCGGTCCGGGTGAGATTTTTTATAAACTGCCAGGTATGAGGCTGCTATGGTAAATTGATCTTTTGAAAGTTCTATATATTTAATAAAACTAACTAGTTTTGAAATCCAAATTTGTAACGGTCAATGCAAATTGTATTCTAAAATCCACAAATTCCAACGTGCTTTAAGTAAAGTTATGCATCACAATCTCTGAATATAAAACAAGTGGTAAAATTAAACATAGTCATCAAAATCGGTTCACCTAGAAAAAAGTTATGAGGTAACAACACACAAAAAATAAAGTCGAATTGAGTACCTCCTCCTTTTTGAAGGCGGTTAAAAAAAAGGTAGTGGTAATTATTAATTGTTTCTGTAGGTAGCCTTCAACTGTTATACTTATGCATCTATCAAAAAATATTACTGTTAACAGGTTGGGTCCACGAGTGAGATAGAATTTGTCATCTCAGAGGCTAAAGAGGGCGTTCTAAGGAATGCAGTACTTCCAGACGTAGTTAGTACGACGTAGACGTTGGCGTAGTCCGCGAATCGATATATTTTCTACGTCCTATCTATCATGTACCTACTCCACTACCGACTTTTCTTACGTATCAATTAACTTTATAATATACTTATTGACATTCTCGTTGATTTATGGTTTATAACCACAGGTATTTAAAATTTATAACACTTTATTAAGAGAAATACTGACCAGCAGGCTAACGCCCTTATTTAAAATATTCATTCATTCATTCATTCATTGCAGCCT